CAACTACCATTATAAAAACAACAGTTTAAAAACATACGCAAACGTGTGTTTGTAGGACAACACCTGTGTTTGTGTGGCACACATATTCAAAACAAAATTCCCAAAACGGAACACCCCTTCGAAAAAAATGGAACAGTCCGACCCAAGGCGCCACGTGCGAACCGTCTCCCTAACAAACGTCCTCATTCCCTAAAGATCGACACGATCACGGCGAGGGTTAAAGTAATCCAAAATTCCGAATTAGTATCCGAAATATATATATATATTTATTTGGTTCTATTATCAAGGATTTCAGTTCAAGAAGATTACCAGTTTATGTAGTAATAGGTAAAATAATACGTTTTCACTTTAGTGTGAATTTGAAAATAACACAATAGGCCTATATAAAGGTTATAAGGATATACGCACGCTCATAGCCTATATATCCTCCCTGGGATGGATTCTTGATTAACCATACATTGTGACATAGTAAAACACTTAAATATATTATTTTAAAATTGAATGTGTGATAGAGTGATTTTGTTTGATATTTCCTGGGTATTGATAAATGTGTCTATTCCCCGCACAGTGCTAATATTGGCAGACATATGAACAATGCCGACTACATATTATTCCGGCCATTTGCAGACCATTTAGTGGCGGCTCGGGCGAAATATTCCCCCAGAAAATTTTCATCCCAACCCTCCCCCTTCCCAGAGAAGAAGAAAAAAAAAACAATTTGTTGGGGTGAAATAAAAGTTTTAATGTCCCCTGATATTAGTAAACAATCTGTATTTAAAATCATTTAAATAAGCCTCTGAAATTACTTCCCGGGTCTAAAGAGGCAAGAATGTCTGTACAACCCAGGCGTAGTCCTAGTTAAGTCCCGATGGCTCGGGGGTGGGGGATTGGGATGTGCTTTATAAATAGCAACTATGCCTATTCCTGATCAAACGTGTCTGTTGACGTCACATCACTAATGCTATTAGGTCTACTGTAGGCCTGTACCAGGGATCTTCCTTGTTGCTGGGTTCAAGTATTGCCCGGGATTTCCCCTTGTTGCAGGAAGTAATAATGTACTAGGCAGAGGTATCCCTTGTTGCAGGATTCAAGTAATACTGTATATGCAAGGCAGGGTATCTCATGTTGCAGGATTCAAGTAATACTGTGTATGCCAGGCCTCCCTTGTAGCAGGGTTCAAGTAATACTATGCCCAGGGGTTTCCCTTGTAGCAGGATTCAAGTAATACTATGCCCAGGGGTTTCCCTTGTAGCAGGATTCAAGTAATTCTCTATATGCCAGGGGGTATCCTTTGTTGCAGGATTCAAGTAATACTTCCTGGGGATTTCCATATGTAGCAAGATTCAAGTAATACTGTATATTCAGTGGCGTCTCCAGGATATATTTTCTGGGTGGGGGCCTAAGCTGTCCGACAGAGGGAATTGAGCTCGTAGGCACGATATGGAAGAGGGGGTTCCCATCCTCAATAAGACTTTTTTAAGAATAGGAACCTCTGATGACCAGAAATGGCACCCTCAGCCTGTAACAGACATGTGTTGGCTTGGTGTGGGCCTATTTTTATATTTTTAATGGTCTGACTGACGAATTCTGTCCGACTTGGGTGTGGGGTGGCTTGATCTGTCCGGTGGTGGATTAAGCCCCCCGCTGTCGCCGCCACGGTGTATATGTCTCCCTTATTACAGGTTTCACACAGAAATCCTTATATTTGAATGTTTTGGTAATTTCAAATTCTACTTTTTATG